GCCCCAAGCACCTGCTTGCCAAGCTAGTGCCTGAAGCCGGCCCTGCCTTTAAGGAGCAGGGCTGAGGCCTCACCCTTGTCTCAGCATTTTGTGAATTCCTTTGTTAGATGTCTAACTCTCCCCATGCCTTATATAGGGAGCCTGGTAACCTAACTTGGGGCTGTGAATTCCAGTAGGCAGCAGGGCACCAAAAAATTAGTGAAATGATTAAAAATATTATAGCAGCCTCCAAAGCTTGTGGCGGCAGAGTTCTCAGCTCTGGATTTTACAACATTTCATTTAAATTAATTTTGTCTTAGAAAGCAAAATAAAAAAGTGGCTTACTTTTAATACAATAAATAATTTTCTAAGTACTTTGGGCCAAATTCATCCTTGTAATTCAGCTGACTTCAGCAGGGATAAATTTCACCAGGGAGAATTTGGTCCTCTACCATGAATTTGGACTGGCTCGTTAAGCATTTTAACTAGGGGGTCCACTTCATTGCTGCTGTAGTCTGAGCTCATTGCGCACCACAGAAGTTCCTTGACTCCTTCTATGCTCCTCTTCTGTCACTATCTCCCTCCCACACCTCTCTATTTCAGTGGTTTCTTGCAACTCTCTCACCTTCCTCCACCTAGTGATGCCCCATCATTCTTCCTCCCCCTATGCCAGAGTCCCATCCATATGTTCTCCTCTCCTATGCCAGAAGTTGTGTGTGTCCCCCATTTCCTCCTCTGCCACATGCCAGGGACTCTGTGTGAACCTATTTCTTCTCCCCCACACCAAGGTCCCCCATTCTCCCCTACATTTTAAACTCTATTGGAAGGATGGACAGAGATAGAGAGTATTAATGACTGCTATCGACCAGGTCTTTGATCTAGAGACAGATTCAGATCTGGTTGAAGCTAATGTGTGTGCTAACCAGGTGCCTGGGGCTTTGCGTGTCCTTCATTTCCCCTTTCCAGTTTTTCAATTTTCACCCAAATCAATAAGATTGTGCCCATGGATGCCTAGAACACTCTGTGAAATTTTGAAATTGATAGGATGCAACATTCAAAAGTTATTGCATTACAGATAGACATCGAGTTGAGTGTAGGGCCATACTTCGCTCAGCCAAAAATGACTCAGAGTTCTGATTTGCCTCTCACTTGTGTTGGGGTAAATCCAGACTAGTTCCACTGAAATCAATAGAGTTACACTGGTGGAACAGAATCAGGCTATAACAGGCAAAACTCCCTTTGATATCAGGGCAGGGGACAGCAGAGGGACCTAGTGGATATATGTTATATATCCAACAATATGACACTGTGATTAAGTCAATTCTGTTCTATATTTCACACATTTAATTACCAGTGCAGCCAATGGTAACTCCACCTGAATAAATTAAGGTAGAATTGGGACATAATTAGTAGTATTACTTTTATCTTACCTTATACTTGAGCATATGCATGTAGGAGCATTGCAGCAGCTCCTCCTCATTACACTGAGATGCTCTGTGACTATTTGGTGTGCACTGACACAATAAGTGTGTGTTTATTTTTTATATATGTTATAACCTTATACCATAAAATTTCACATTTTAAGCGTTACCAAGGTCCGGTATCCCAGGGTTCTTTGTGTTGTGTCAGTGTAGTATTCTTCGGGGTTTCAGACTGGTGCTTAGTTCAGTTTTTAAAACACCATGTTTGCCTAGAAAATGTGCTAAGATGAGCCAAAGAATACATTAAAATATACTTGAACTAAAAAAGCATAGATTGTAATGTTTCTGTAAACAAAGCAAACAGTAGAATGCTTAAACAACTAGGGTTTTTTGCCTTTAAGTCTTTGTGTTGCTTTTATAATATTATAAAAAATCAAAGGGAATGGAATACATTACAATCAATCTTCTGAAAAACAGATGCCTAAAGTCCTTATTTAGGTACTGAAATATATGGTCTGATTTTCAAAAGTACTGAGTACCCAGCAACTCTCATTGACTTACAAAATAAGGCCCTGATCTTGCAATAAGAAAACTACACACAGGAAGGACCACTGCATTCACAGAATGCTCCAATGGGCTTTCATCTGTCCACACAGCTCTTACTGCAGCATCAGAGCCTTAGTGAAGGCAGGATTTGTCCCTTGCCTGGTCTTATTTTTAGATATTATAGGTGTCTTGATTTCACACACCATAATGTGTCAACCCAATGGCAGAATCATAGTTTAAACCATGAAGCTGGGAACTTTAGGCCAATATTTTCAAAAATGGGCTCCTAAAATTAGGCTCTAAAATCCATATTTGGGCATCTAAACAAGTGACCTGATTTTCAGAAGTCCTGAGCACTCAGCAGATTCCACTGAGACTCCTGTCCTAAGTAAAAGCAGATAAATTGGAGACATGAGACAAATACCACTTTCACGCTGTGATTGCGTGTGTGAGAGAGCAAAATTTGTCCCATTATTTGTGTCACTCTAAAATTTGAATAGCCTTGAACCTTCAACTTGTATATCACTTTTGTACTGCATTGTATTTGATTGTAATCTCCTTGGGGCAAGGACAGTATCCTCTTCTATAGTCTGAACAGCCCTGAGCCCACCAGTGTCACTAAGGGCCAGATTCTGACACCCTTATTCAGGCTGGGTAGCATGTGAGGCCACACATTGTTCCACTGAAGTTAATGGGACTGTTTGTGGAGTAAGGGCTTCAGAACCTGGCCATAAATAAATAACAATAACAGTCTTGTTGTTAAAGGATGGTACTAGAAGTCAGGAGATGTGAGTTTTAGTCCTCACACTGTTTCCCACTTAAGGGTCAGAGTATACTCTAAAAGCAGTCTAAATCCAGAGTCACTCCTTTGACTTTAAGATTTACATTGGTGTGCCCAAGAGCATAATTCAGGATTTCTTGTGTTGCCTTGACCTGGTCACTTTGGCCAACCCCATTAAGTACCTAAAGTTAGACACTTATAAGAAGTTGGCTCAGTTGTTGAGCACATAACACTGGTGTATCAGAGAGCAGAACTTAGCCCCTCATGGTATTTGAAGGATTTGTTTTCTTTGTTTCCCCCTTTTTATTTAATAGCAATGAGTCTACACTTCTTGTCTGTTTCATGTATGTGATGCCCCTGTTCTCTAACGCCGAGCCACACTGGAGCACAGTCCTAAAAACAGCCCCACACAGGGCCTGTGGGTGCACCCACGTTACATGGAATATGAGTCCCCAAGCCAATGGTAACTAAGGGAAGGGTCCGCCCCCAGGCAGCAGCAGCCCGGCCAGAGGAGCCGTGCCCGCCCTGCACCACGCCGGCTGCGGCTCCGCCGCCCGTGCCCCAGCCGAGCGGTCCCGTGATCCGCCAGGCCCTTTGCAAAGGGCGGCAGAGTCGGGTTCCGTGGGCGGCTGGGTGCCGGTTCCCTTGCCCAGCCCGTGTTTGTGAAGCCAGCTCCGCGGCAGCCCGCCCTGAGCGCCTCCCTTCCTGCTGCCCCGGGGGCGCTGCGCCGCGCGGTTGTTTGGCTGCTGCCGCAGCTTTGCTGCTCAGGCGGGCAGGGGGGTGTAGTTGGCGCCGGGTGCCAGGCGCACGCCTCTGCCTGACACGCAGCGAGGGAGAGGCGGAGGAGCAGCTGGAAGGGCCGGTCAGGCGGCGGCTCCGCCGCGGTGCTGGGGATAATTAGTGTCTGTGAGTCTGTCTGCCTCCGGGGGGCAGGGTGGGGGGAGCAGTGCGTGCCTGGCTGGGTGTGCGAGCCAGTGACTCGCCCCGGCCCCTCCAGCGCAGCCTCCACCCAGCGGGCTGGGAGCCGCCCTGGCCGCGCTCCCCTCCCTGACCCTCCCCTTACCCCGCCGGCCAAGGGAGCCTGGCAGAGCGAGCGGCGCCGGCGTCATGTGACAGCGGAGACTAGTGCCAGGAGCCTGGGGGAGCCGAGCGAGCGCCCTCCCCTCGCCCAGAGACGCACGGCCACCGCGGAGCGCACAGCCTCAGCCGCAGGGAGCCGGGACGCGGGCCGGGTGCTTTGCTCTGTTTCACAGCCCCCATCGCAGGGCTTCGGGCGGCGGCGGAGGCCCCCTGCCCTGCTGAGGGTGAGCGCGGGGAGGGGAGTGGGGTTATTCCTCGCGTCTGACTGCAACGTGCCAAAGTTTCCAGCTGCTGGAAGAAGTCGGGGGGGGGGGGTCAGAGTTGGGGTGACCTGGGTGCATGCAAAGCTGCGAGCCCGCTGAGGCTCTGGGGGCCAGGGCTGCGCCCGCGGACCATCCTGGCGGCTTGACACGCTCCAACTTCTGCGAAAGTTTTTCGGGGGTGGGGGGAGAATGTATGTTTCTATCTCCAACTCCTGTGGTGCTTTATTATCTGTTTCTGCACAGCTTGTAAGGGCGGAAGGAGGGATTACCAACTCCGATGATACTTTGTCTCTTTCTGGGAAGAGGGGACCGAAGGTCACGTGTGTGTAGGGGGCCGAGTAGGGGGAGTTTCTGCGGATGTTTCTATCCCCAGCTTCTGTGGTTGCTGCAAAGGTTGCAAGAGAGGGTGGGACAAAATACAGGGGTCTGCTCTGGTGTGTGTGGTTTTTTCTTACTGGCTTTTACAGAGATTGGGTAAGAAAAATCACACACCTGGTGTGGCCTTTGGCTCGGCTCTCTGGTGCTGATCCCAAGACCTCCATTGTCTCAATATGAAAGGGAGTCCCTTTCTTTCCGGCTCTGGACTTGGACAATATGAGACATTCTCTTGGGCTCCTTTCAGAGTGGCAGCCGTGTTAGTCTGTATCCGCAAAAAGAACAGGAGTACTTGTGGCACCTTAGAGACTAACAAATTTATTAGAGCAGTAGCAGTTGTTTCAGCCCCCAGAGCATCTTTTGGCAGATGGGGGGACTGCAGTACAATAGACAAGTCTACAATTTAAAATATCATCAGAGCTTGCTAATGCTATTAAAGTACAAAATTGAGTTGCACAGTGTAATGGGTTCATTCACTTCTGTTGGATTAAAAACGTTTGTCTTCTGTGGGGAGAAAAAACAGTGAAGAGGGTTGTTTTTGTTGTTTGGTTTTTCTAAATAGTACGCTATCACTAGTACATTATGGTTAGGGTCATAGCACTGTGGAATAGTTTAATGGCCAAATTTAACCCTGGTATAACTTGACTGAATGTGGTGGAGTTATACCAGGGATAAAATTAGTCCTAAAATGTTTTTAAAATAAAATATTAACATATCTAGTCTTATTTAACACTCTTCTAGGAAAAAGTTCAAATCTCTAATATTTATGATATTTAGCTCTGACACTTAAAATATAAAGTAACTTTTATAAGGAATTGGAAATGACATCCATAATTGACTTCCTGCCTATATGAATGTTGTTTTTCTACACTTAAATGGGAATAGGAATATTTATCTTCTATCTTTGTCCAATGTAAGTTCTTACACTGAAATTGGCTGGGGGGGGTGCAAGGCGAGGGGATGGACTAGAGAAAGTTGTTCTTTAAGACCCCACCTTGAAATCCTACACAAAGTAGCAAAAAATCAGGAGTAATACCTAGTTTAGAATTGTTCAAATTGTCATTCTTTTTAACTCAAAGAAATTGATTTCATCAAAGATTTTCTATCCATTCTGATTCAGTTTTACTGTACCTGCATTGTTTGCTTGCGCTCTGCCTCTACATAGTGGCCCTTTGAAAACTCAGGAAGTGTCACTATTCACAGGGCTCAACTTTGAATGTGGTGTTGTTATGAAAAGCCAAGCTTGGGTCGTGGATGGAGGGACTTTGTGGTTTTGATTTTATTGAAGTTAATGTCCATAAATGTTGTTTAATCTGTATTGAAAACAAAGAATACAATTGCTGCTCACTAATGTATTTTTTCCATAGAATAGTTTTAAGATGTGCTCTCTTGGTTGTTGTATAAGGAACTTCTTTTATGAGAGGAACCACATCTGGATTTGATAATCCTGTCTGACCCTGGGGACACTTACTTCAAACTAACTTTATCCCTTGTGCTTTAAAATGTATGATTTAGTTTGATAGCACTAATATTTTCAAATACAAGAGTCTGCATCAGAGTTTAGTTGAGTGGCATACTTTCCTTTTATCCAAGCAGGTAAATATGTTTTGCCTACACTGGTTAATGTATAATAGTAGGTGAACCTGGGGTTGGGAGGTGGGTGGAGAAAGAAGACGTAAAATGGTCCTTTCCTTTTTTGAGGAAACTGAAATGTTGTCAGTATATAACAGTTTTGAGAGTGCCCTACAATATTATGAAAATACACTACACCTACACAACAACTATAGTATCAGCCAAAACCACAATGAGAACCATATTACCCACCTTGCCTTTCTAATGCCCTGGGACCAACATGACTACAGCACTACAAAAACAAAAGTGTTCAGGTAAGTAATGATGTAAAAGTGAATTAATTCAGTTGAAAGTGCTCAGATACTACAGTGATGAGGGGCTAATCAAGTACCTAGATACTTTTGATACTTACCTTTCCAAATGTTAAGTATAAAGAAAATAATATAACTATAGAACGTACAACCATACACTGTTGTGTAGATTCTTCCGTAACCAGTTGTAATCTCATGTACTTCTGAAACTGCAGTTACTAAAATGAAATATACGGTGGTTACTGTCATTACTAGGCTGCTAATCCACGTAACTTGCAATAACACATTCTCATGTCTGATAATATCTGGTACAGCAGCTGTCCGACCCACCGTGCGGAACTAGTTCAAAGCATGTTGTAAAAGGAAGAATAGTGAAGTAGTTGTTCTGAATGAAACTAAGTATAAACTTATTCTGATACATTTCATGTAGATGAGGTGTGCTTCCTCACCCCCATAACTCCTTATTCTCAGTATGTTTTCTTCTTTAAACAGCTTGATGGTTTTAGTGTGATGTGTATTAGTGATTTGTCAAAAATAAAAAAAATATTTGTGGTTAAGTGGTTCTACAGTTAAAATCTCATTCTATAAGTGCAACCAAAGCAAAAGTACAGAAAAGTGAAAATTAGCGTGGATTGTTATTGGTATGTGTTTTAGCAGAGTGAGTCTTTAATAACTCTTGAAATTTAAGTTCTGTCATCCATATACTGAGAAGAGCTCTGTGTACGCTTGAAAGCTTGTCTATCTTACCAACAGAAGTTGGTCCAATAAAAGAGATTACCTCACATACCTTGTCTCTCTCATATCCTGGGACCAACAGATACACCAACACTGTATGCACTAAATTATGTCAGTCTTCAGCTGTCAAACCATGCTGAATTTTTGCAGTGGGAAAATAGCCAATTTCTAAAATAGGCTGTACTTTTATAATTAATTCTTGTAATGACCCGATCATTCCGTTTTTCTCTTTGAAGAAGATAATTTTAGGCTAAGAGTTAGCTGTATGGTGTTATATAAAATTCAGGCTGTAGTTAAATATTAGCAACTTAGAGGCAAAAAGAAATCCAAGGGAAGGTTGGGGTTAATTATCATGATCTGTGGTGTCTGAAATCACATGTCCTCTTCTGTTAAGTGTAGATATTTGCTTGTTTGTAAATAGGGCAGGTCTCCTATATAAAGACAGTGTTTTTATTCACACCCAACGAACAAACACCTCCACCCACTGTTGTTTAAAAAACTCCAGCTGCTCATGAATATAGGGTCAGAGAGGGCCGCCTAAATGTTTCTCTGTGCTTTCTCTCCAGCACAGCCAGCAGAGCTGTTTCCTGTTCTTTGTTTCAAGGCTGGGGTTTGCGTCATACATTCCAAGTGGCATATGTGTGCTCTTTCCTGTTTCAGGCTGTTTTTTTAGTAGACCAGTAGCCCAGTCCAGGCCCCTTGTCACTGCCCTGCAACTCCCAGTCCCCACCCAGTGAGTTATCATGTCTCTACACACTCATGATTGCTTAAGTTGCCTGTGTTATGTCAGCATGAGAAGTCTGAGTTAACCTTTTAACACACACCCTCTACTCCAATATATTTACATGGGTAAATAATGAGTTTCATTCCCTTTTCTAAAAACTTGTTTGACTCTAAAAAAAATTGAGTCTGAGTTCTCCTCTCACCTGTGCCAATGTAAGTCTGGAATAATTCCATTAAAGTCAATGGAGTTGCAGTGGTGTAATACCAGTGCAAATGAGAAGAGAATCCAGCCCTATATATTCATTTATGTGAAAACCTATTGGTTTCTCCCCATATCTGTTCTGAAGATGCCACCATGATCATTTTCTGTTCCAGTTTTGATCAAGATTAGAATTGTACCATTTTTTTTGAAGGGAGGAAATATCGTACTGTTACATGAATTCAAGGATCCGCACTCTTCCAGATTTAATGCAGAAAAATGAGACACTAACAACTTTCCTTGGATTAAATGGGTATGGCAGTGCTATATTTTGCTAAACTCTAAGCACTTTTTGAAGGAGTAAAGTACATGTTTTTTCTACTTTGATATCAGATTTTTTTTTCATTTGTCTGCTGTGGACCAACAGAGAGAAAAATCAAGAGGAAATTCAAAAAGAGGACATAAGAAATCTTTCTGTTACTCTGCATCTAACTGTAGAAGAACTAAGGACCTGAGCCAAAGCTCATTGAAATTGATAGAAAGATTCCCATTGACTTCAAAGGGCTTTGGATCAGGCCCTAAATGAATGAGAAATTATATGAAAATAGGAGATGGACTGTCTTTCTCTCTCACTTATGTTTGGAAAAAAATACATTTTCTTGCATGCACACAGAAATGTTTCCATCTTTAAATATGTCATTTTTATTTAATTTGTTTTTGAAATTTTTCTTCTGCTACTGCTGGCTTTTAGATGTTAAACTTTAAAAAAGGAGAAGTTTATGTTGGGCACACTTGCAATATTTTTTTCAAAAAGCATAATAGGACTTAGAGACACTTGTAGTGAACACAGATAACTAAATTTTAACTATATAAGTAGCAACTCACTGAAATGCACATATATGGATACTTACATTATTTTGCTTTTTGTCTCTTCAGAAATACAAATTGTAAGAAAATTATTTCAAGTGAACACACAAGCTAATAATTTTGGTAAGTTGTATTTTTAAGAATCCTTATTTCCTCTCTTTTAGGGATTTTTACTTTTGTTCTTTTGCTGCTATTAGAAAATTAAGTACAGTATATTGTCATTGCACAGTGAATAAATATCGTAATTTAGCTACTAGTTAAACTGTACAGGATTTGAGCCTCAGTCATATTTCATCTTTTCTCCATGGATCAGCAGAAGGTGTTGAACTAGCTTTAGTTTAGTACTGGGAACCAGGGTGTAAGTATAGTAATTTTGCTATTCACAACTTTCTGTAGTCAAGTTTCTATAAAATCGGAAACTGAGATTCATATTGCAACAAAATTCTGCATTTTGTAGAACAAGTTTTTTAAATTAATTGACATAGCTAGAAGGAGGTCCTTTCAAAAATAAAACTCTTCTATGCAGCCAGTATTGAAGCTTTGTGTTTTCATTCCAAGGCTAGTTGCTTCCAATCCAAAATGTGAAGTTTGGCAGAGCTGGTTTAGGAACAGATTTAACCCTTCACTTTTAATGTTTTATCCAATGCCAAGGTTTCCTTTTAGGGATTTAATAGCCATTGTTGATCTGTCCCAAGGGAAACTAGTATAAGTGTGTGTTAGCTAAATAGAAAGATAAAGCTCTAACGGAGTTTAAATACTAAAATAAGCCATAATGGAAAGAGATGGGAGAGTTGGGGAGGTTGCTAACACACTTTGGTACACGAAAAGAGTGACAAAACCTCCACTCTTAGAGAGTCCAAGTTTATTTAATCATTCTTCCATTGCCACCATCCACTTTCTCTCTCTTCATTTCCCTAGATACATACACACACACAAACACACGCTCATGGACATTTCTTTCCTATTTTCAAATCTTCATTGAAATTAAAAGCGTAAACTATTATTCATTAATGTATTTTTGGTCACTTAATAGTTAGAGATTTTTAGCTCTGCCTCATGTGGTCAAAGGTGTAAACGTCTGTCTGGAATATGTTTGAGCAAGTAACAGAGCAGACTTGTACCTTAATATTAGAGGATGATATTTTGTATCCTGATGTTGACATTTTTTTTAGACACTCAGCCTGATTTTCAGATTTTGATTTCTATGCGTGTAAAATTAGCTTTGAAGTCTGTCACACTCTTTCTGTATCTTCATTTCCCAACCAGTCTTCCTGAATAGAACAAAGGCTACTTTTATTCTTCCTTTCAAATTCTCTTTAAAATTAACTTTTTTATTTAAAAAAAAAAAAAAGGTTCAGTTTGGAAGGGAAAGATTCATACCATTCTGCATACTTCACTTGTTTTCAGAGGTCTGATCTGTTCTCTTTATTAAACTATTTCTCCTTGTAAGCAGTAGCTTGAGACAGGAAACCAGACAGCAGTCTGCCCTGATAAGGGAGAGTATTGTATGCAGTATTGTCTAAGGAGGTGGCTAAAGATTTTTTCTCTTTCTTTCTTCTTTAGGGCCAATAGATATAAAATAGGAATTGCATAAGGTTGTATGGATGCAAAGTTTTTCTCAGTGGAAACTTCAGACTCAAAAAACAAATACCTTTTATGAATACCCTTAGAAACTGTTTTCTAAGACTTTTTTTTTAATATGGAAAAATGTGTTTTTCAGCCGTATTGCTATGGAGTGTTCATAACAGCATAGCTGTAAATTTCAGTAAAATACAGACTAGTTTGCTACATGGCTTCTGACAAATTAATATGTTAAAGTAGTTCTAGATCAAACAAAGTGATTTATAATAATGGGAAGGTTGTGATGTGCATTTTCTGTATCTCAGTACTGTAGCATGTTTCAGGAGTTATTCCAGTTCCCATTGGACATCCACTGGGTTTTTTATTTGAAGAAAAGAAAAGAAAAACAGCTACCCATTAGCAGAAATTGTCTCTTGTTGCACAGCCAATTCCTTATAATTTTCTCCAGTACTGCTTTTTGTGGGCCAAACTGCTTTGATCCTTTCCCTAGCAGTGCTGTCTCTGGGTCTCAGTCTCCACTTAAAAGTTCGGTCGACATAGCTACATTCATCCGGGATGTGAAAAAACCACACCCATGACCAACATAGGTATGCTGACCTAAACCCCATTGTAGATACAGCTGTGTTGATGGAAGAATGCTTCCACTGATGTAGCCACATCGTTGGGGGCTGAGGGTTATGTTCCCACACTGGCTGAAAAACCTCTTCCATCTGTGTAGGCTGTCTCTACGCTATGGGTTTACACAGGCATAGCTGTGGCGATGTAGCTATGCTAGTATAGTCTCTGTAGTGCAGACACACCCTGGATTTTCACTCTTCTCACTCTTATTCCCTTTAACTGAATCTAATTGCTAATCTAAATTTGAGATTTTCTGTGTCTGGTGCTATTTTGGGGCTTCGTGAAGGAAAGCACTTAAGCACATGCTTACTTCCCATGGAAGTCAGAGTATGTTCTTGTGTATTTTGCTGATCCAGGGCCTTGAGGAGCAACTACTACTGTGAATACAAAGAAATCTTGTTGCCAGCTGTGGAGGGGATTTCCTTTACCCCTTCCAGGGACTCCTGTTAGTTCAACAGAGGAGAACCAGTTTCTGCTATCTTTTAAGGCTCCATTGAAGATTATTTCTCATTCAGTCTCAGAAAGCCTCCCTGGCCTTTGGATGTCATCAGTATAGTTCTTCCAATATTATCACTTCTCCTTAATATCGGGGGAGGTGGGGAGTTTAGCTTGAGACTCATGAAGGAAGAGGTAGTTTCAGATCATCAGAATTAGTTCTAAAGAGCCATGACTGCAAAACCTTGGGCACTTGACTCAAGTTGCTCCGTGGATACATTACTGTAAAAGCTACAGTGGTGGGCACTAATGTAGTGCTGATTTAGTGGCAATAATTAAGTTACTTTGTAATTATACCAATAATACTGAGCATTTTCTAAACAATGATTGAGCCTCACACAGCAATAGGGTGCCATCTCCTGTTTCCCCCTGACACAAAAACTGAATAAACAAGTTTTGCGTGGGGTGCTGTGCAGAGGATGGGAGGGGCAGAATCTGTTCTCACCACCCTTACCCATTGTGTGGATCAGATCATTGGTCACCACTATTCCAGATATTTAACTACAACGTGAGCCAAAGCCCTTCTGCATCTCTCTTGAGGATTTGTAACTGCTGGATCTGTGTGGCTAAGACCAGCCCCCAACCCAAAACCACCTCCCTTCACAGAAAGCTATATAGGCCAATGTGTGGGTATGCAGAGCCCTCTGTGTTTTGTGGCTGCCCTCCACCTGTGTTAGTGGTACAGTGCTGTGGCTGCTATGCCCATGGGCAAATCTCATCCAGAGTAAATAGTCTGTACAAATCCTTATTGTTGGAACACGTGTTAAGTACTCTTACTCACATCAAACCATACATGTCAAGAAGTTAAAACTGAGAAGTCTCTGATGTTGACAAGAAAATTAACGATTTTGATGGTAAAAATTCCATAGGATTTGAACATAGCGTTTTCCTTTAATAAAGGGCAGGGGTTTGTTTTTTTCTTACCTGCTGTCTTTTCGCTTGGCTTTAGCTGTGAAAATGTTGAGGGACTTTGCTTGGACTTTACCTTTGCACCTGTCCTTATTTGCATACAAAAATGAATTGCTTGGCTTGTCTTTTAGAAATACAGGGTGTGAGCAGAATCTTATCAAAAGCCATGTCCTGTTTGGACAAGTTGGACTGCCTTGGCAAAGATCCATAGGGTGGAGTGAATGGGAGGAGGCAGGAAAGTAAAACTGGGTGGCTTGTTAGCAAAGAGAAAGAGAGGGTGGAATGTTTGCCTACTGGATTGCAGTTAATTATTTAGTTTCAGATTACATACAGCATACATTCTTTTACCCACATAAAAACACTTCAATGCAAAATAGCTCATCTAATTTGAGAAAGATAGACGACTCTTCTGATTTTTTTTTAATATGGTTTGTGTGACTTGTATGGTTTCTCCTTGCTTTGCTGTGAGGAGGGTGCCACAGGTACTTGAGAGGATACTTTAGTTTTCTATAAATTAATCTTATTTACTAAACAACCTGTGGGCTGTGAAACAAGTATATAACGAAATAGTAGCAGATCCCTACTATTCTTCACACCTTACGTTTGAAACAAATAAGGCAGTCTCCCCCTGCTTCTCAAACATTTAATAGCAGGGGAGTATAGTGTGATCTTGCATACCTACATATGTATGATTTTTTACAAATATATTACAGAACCTTTACTATAAAATATTATCAGAAATAACAAAATACAATTTTTTTGTTTACTTACTTGAAATAAATTCAGACTTCACAACCAGTGTGTCTTTCTTCCATTCAAGCATTGTTCTTTTAAATAAACAGATCATTGTTCCATGCATTTATTTTCACCCTTAGAGTTTATCCCGGAACAACAATTTCATAAGTGTCAGACCTTCAGCTGGTGTAAACTGATTCCAGTGGAGCTACACCATATTACACCAGCTGAGAATATAGGCAGGACCAAAAGATCATGCATAATGTATTGTCCTCTGTCCAAAATCAGCCTCTCTTACTATTTAGGTAGAAATAGTACAGTAAAAGAACAGTATAACACATTAAAGGGAAACTCAACTTGTATACTATGATACAGCAATAAAAGTAAAAATTTTATCTACTATTTTAGATGACTACGAAAGACAAAGAATTTTTCACTTTTACTCTCTGCAAGACACTTTCTGTTGTCAGTTTCATTCTAACCTCTGTACAGTCAGTTAGCCCCTAATTCTGCAAATATGTGTATGTAAAGTTAGGCATATGCTAAGTGTTTGCAGGATATGGGCCTTAGTCACTTTCTATGATTTTCTGTGTGGGTCTCTCACATAGCAGCAGGAGAGAAAAAACAAACCTTAAAAATAGAAAAATGTGATTTTCAAAACTACAACAAATGGCAGAGGGAATAGGTTGGGGGATGAGGGAAGGTGTATTATCTGAAACTACTAAACTTTTTTTTCCCCTTCAAGTGACTAGATTACAAGTTGATGGTGTCACTTCACCAAAACACATTTAAATTAAAAAATGGAAAGCTTCTGGAAACCTTCTGAAAGCAAATATTTACAAATTCTCATATATATGAAGACTGGCGTGCAGTGTAGGCTTGGTTTGTTTTTGCATTGTGGGATATCCTTTATCCATTCATGTATTGTTAGATGCATATATCTGTGTCTTTGGGAAGTCATGTATAGACAAAGTTCCTTCACATGAAAGTGACTAGGAAAATGTAATTTGTCAGAAAATTATATGAAATGCTTAAACTCAGAAAAATATCTAATTTAAATGATTCCCTGAAGTTGCAGGAAAGATTGCATAATTGTTTTTTCAACTTTCTCACAGGCCTTATTGACAAATGAACATAGACACATCCAAATTATAAAATTTTCTATCTTTCAAAGGTATTACTTACTTTTAATTTAGACAAAACTGGCAGTTTCTTTGAACTACTGTATCTGTTTCTCATTTTCTCAACTTGGTTTAATCAGGCCCTACCCTTTTTTTCAGGATGATGATATTCATGCTGATATTCAGTGATGCTTTAGTTGTTCTTTCGAAATCAAGCTTTGTTCATTTCAAGTACACCTCTACCCCGATATAACGCTGTCCTTGGGAGCCAAAAAATCTTACTGTGTTATAGGTGAAACCACGTTATATTTAACTTGCTTTGATCCGCCGGAGCGCGCAGCCCCGCCTCCCCGGAGCGCTGTTTTACTGCATTATATCCAAATTCGTGTTATATCGGGTCACGTTATATCAGGGTAGAGGTGTACTTAGAAAGTATACTGTTGTAGTATTTTCCATAAATTACTAAACTTTGGCCTTGATTTATAAAGTAAATCTCTGGTCGGCTTGAAACAATTCATTCTCTTTCTTTCTCTCACATATCTCAAATTGTTTTCTCAAATGCATACACACTATTGCATGATTGCTCATTAATATAGGACTATTGGAATTGGTCTAATTTGGGGCATATATTTTCTTGTGTCCCATTTGGAATTTTTTTCTTATGAATCAAAAAGTTTAGACACAATTAAAACCTTTTAATATATTAATGAGTCTTAAGCTTACACCCAATGAAATTGTCTTGACGGAGTACAGTAGCATTTTATTTGTTATGGATTTCTAGTGCCACCTACTGGATGCAATTGAATTTGTTAATACTTAACATCAGTCTTTATATATACTGTACAGAGACAAGGTGAGTGAGGTAATATCTTTTATTGGACCAACTTCTTTTGGTGAGAGAGACTAGCTGTCAAGCTCTTCAAGAGCTCGGTGTAAGCTCGAAAGTGTCTCTTTCACCAACGGACATTGGTCCAATGAAAGATATTACCTGACCCATCCTGTCTCTCTAATATTGTGGGACCAACATGGCTACAACACTGCATATACTGTACAGGAAATACAATTTGTCTGGAATGGTGAAGTTGTATCCCATACTCTCCTCGTCAACTGGAATACTCTGCCAGTCCTCCAGGCTGTACTCTGGAAGATTCTATTTGTGGCTCTGCCTTCTCATATATGATATCTGCATTCTCATAAATGATATTAAATGGTTTTTATAAAAATTTGTCAACAGGAAATTTTTAATGTGTTTGAGTATTAACTTCCTTCACTTGTCTAAAATATTTGGCTTTACCGTGTAGCCTCTCTAGTATTTCTCTGTCCCACTCCAAAGGCTCCTGGTCCTCGCTAACGTCTTCCCATCCTTCCTCCACAGTTGTCACCCTTGGTAAATGTGTAAATATGGTTATTACCTGGGATAGTTACGTTACTATAAATGAGATAGACTTGAAAATAGGCTTGAACAAGCTAACAAAGTAGATGGCTCCCTTTTTAAAGCAATTTTGGCTACACAGAACACAGTCTAAATTCTGAAATCTTGTTTTTAATAAGGAAACTCTTGGAAATGTTGTTTCAAAATAGTGGTTGAGTTGTCATAGTTCCTTTTGGTGAAATAGTTGAATTATCAGTTGTGATGTCTGATTGGGAGGCTGTCTATTGTACCTCTCCAAATTAGCTTTGTTTTTAATTTCTTCCAAGCGTGGAAGTAGGTGTCAAAGCACCAGAGTGTTATCAACATTGCCATCAGGCTTACTGACTGGAGACTGGCAAGTATTGGGCTGCCATTCTTCCTGAATCTGATTCAGATCTTTTCATGTTCACTGTCTCTTCGGCTAAACAAAAAATTAATTTAGGCTTGCCAGTCATCCGGTTTTTGACCAGAATGTCCGGTCAAAAAGGGACCCTAGTGGCTCTGGTTGGCACTGCTGACCAGGCCGTTAAAAGTGCAATCAGCGGTGCAGCAGGGGCCCGCAGCTAAGGCAGGGTCCCTGCCTGCCCTAGCTCCGCGTAGCTCCTGGAAGCAACCACCAAGTTCCTGCAACCCCTAGGTGCGGGCACGGCCAGGGAGGTTCCGCGCACTGCCCCTGCCCTGAGGGCCGGCTCCGCAGCTCCCATTTGGCTGGGAACTGCGACCGATGGGAGCTGCAGGAGCGGTGTCTGCGGGCATGAGGGCAGCGCACAGAGTCTCCCTGGCCACCCATGCATCTAGGGACTGTAGGAACTGGAGGCCTCTTCCCGGGAGCCAAGGTAAGCGCCGCCGGGACCCCTCACCCCCTCTTACACCCAAACCCCTGCTCCAGGCCAGAGTCCCTTCCCACATCCAAACTCCCTCCCGGAGCCTTGCCCCACCCCAGAGCCCCCTCCTGCACCCCAAATCCCTCATCCCCCAGCCCCACCCCAGAGCCTGCACCCCCAACCGTAGTCCTCACTGCTGCCCCAGCCCGGAGTCCTCTCCCACAGCCTGAACCACTCATTTCTGGCCCCACCCGGAGCCTGCACCCCCAGCCCAGAGCCCATACTCCCCCATGCACCCAAATGCTCTGCCCCAGCCCAGAGCCCACTCCCACACCCCAAAACCCTCATCCCTGGCCCCACCCCAGAGCCCACACCCCTAACCGTAGCCCTCACACACCTCTGCCCCAGCCCGATGAAAGTGAGTGAGGGTGGGGAGAGCAAGCGACAGAGGGAGGGGGGTGGAGTGAGTGGGGGCGAGGTCTCAGGGAAGGAGCAGGGAAGGGGTTTTCAGTTTTGTGCAATTAGAAAGTTGGCAACCCTAAATTAATCTCAACTTGGAATGATAGAAAAAGTGCATGATCTGAGCTGGGACACACTGTCTTCAGCTACTTGCAGCTAATTAAAGCTAGTAACTCCATGCTGTAGGTGTGCTGATCAGCACTTTAAGAGCCCAACCTAGCTTCTGTTGAAGTCAATGGATGCCTTTTCATGGCAATTGGATTGGGCTCCTTAGGAAGGTACTGTGCAAATGATAACACTGGAACATTTTAAGGAATTTTAAAAAGCATGGTCCAATACTTGATGAGAAGACCTATTATATACAGTTGGATATTTCATAGCTTATGCATTGTGGAATTAATGACAAATTTCCATTCATTATAAATTCATTAAGGTTATTTTTATAGAAAAAACGTATATGGAATGCCTGTTTGGTACTTTTTGACCGATCATCCACTGGACTATGCCTAAATATATTCTGATCATAGGGTTTTACTGAAATTACAAAGTAACTTTTATATCCTACCACCAAACAGTTTTATTATAATAGAATATTTGAAAACATAAAGCTTATCTCTAGATTTGGAAGAATTAAATCAAATACATTTAATATTATGGAATAATGAGTTAAAAAAAAATTCAGAAACTTGATTCTAGCCATTCCTACAACTTAACTTGTTTATTTCCCCTCCCTGTAGCCCAGGACGACACAGACATCAGAAGATTTCACTGAAAAGATGCTAATGTTTGATCCAGTCCCTATCAAGCAAGAAGCCATGGAACCTATTTCAGTGGTAAGTCTTCAAACATGTTATCACCCTGATTGCCATGTAGGGATTGCTTCTGCTGTCAATGAAATCAATAGCAGAACTCCTGTGAACTTCACAGGGCCTGGCCTCCTCGGAGAACTGCTGTGAAACAGAATACCTGAGTAACAGCAATAGCTAAATTTGCACATTAGTAGCATTATTTTCTCTTTCTGGAGACAGTGCCATTAGTGTTGCTTACATTGGTCAGGATGCCAGCCCCATGTTTACTTTTCATGGTGATATTTGAGGCCTACCATGAGAGCTATGCAGAGGGAGGGAGGGGAAAGAATAAACACCTTGCAAGGACATATGGGCCCTAGGCTGTTCTAGGGTGAGTCTGGTGCCATAGGCCTCTCTGCTTCCGTGTACTTGGAAAATAGTTGCAAAGGGAAAAATTTGGACAGAAAGCTGGTAATGAGAAACTTATAAAATTAGATCATCTCTGTTTTGGCTGTTGCTATTCCTGCCAACAGTGGTTATACAAGACTTAAGGGTCAGTTTGAGGCCCTAGAAACAAAGTTGTCATGGATATTGTTATTTGTAATATTTGGTAGAAAGCCTTTGAAAAGCAGCTTTCAGTGACAAGTTTGCTGCCTTTACCAATTAAAAAATGTAAAAGGGGCACTATCAATTTAAATCCAATTTTAAATACATTTATCTATGTTGGTTGCTAAAATACCTTTAAACAATCTAAACTACTTGAATTTTAGAAACACAATTTACTTTTTTGCTGTGTTGTTTACATTGCAGTCTTCTGAGCAGAGGCAGGGAAATGCCTGTTCTAGCAATGAGGAATAGGGATTTAGTCAACCGACAAATACTATGGGCTGGTCTACACTACACAGTTAGATCAACATAAGGCAGCATATGTCGCCCTAATTATGTCATTGTCAACACTACAGCCTTCCTCCCACCGATGCAAGTGCCATACTACACCAACATAATAACTCCACCTCCACAAGAGGCATAAGGCTTATGTCGGTGTTGTTAGAGCGACATAGTGTCTGTGTAGACACTGCATCCCTGCCAGGCAGATAGAGCCCGTCTGCCACCCGCTTCCAGGGGAAGAATGAACCCCACTCCCGGCTGGGAGCCAGGTGAGAAGCCCTGACGGCGTGAGCCATGAAATTGACACGGCTGCCTGGCTACCAGTGTGGGGGGTGGGGGTGGGAGAAGAGGGGAGACCGGGCTCTCATCTCCCCACACTGCCCTTCTTAGATTGGTGGGAGGTGCTCCTGATGAGGACATGCACCACCGACCCAATGAGGGTAGTGTGGACATGCAGCACCGCAGTGGCTGCAGGTCGACCTAATAGGTCCACATACATTTCTAGTGTAGACATACCCTTTGAGTGTTTTTTTAGTTAAGTAATCCAGCCCAGGAGTGGGATATTACGCTTCCATGTGCTATTTGAAGATAAATTGTACTTTCCCTGTGCTGGGACTTCAACACTGTCTTGCAGATTACTTTCTGCCACCACTCTGGCCAGCCATCACAGGGCTATTCCCTTTTATTAAATATTCATTTTGTCCTTTTACTTGCTGCATTAAATGAGTGTAGCTAGGAAAAGGAAATAACGTTGGGCCTGATTGTGGGTTCTCTCATAAGAAGGTACAAAGGAGGAAAGAAAATTCTATGAAGTTCCCCTCTCAGAGATGCCTCAGTTCTTCCTCAGTAGAGTAAGAGGTTTTGAGTCTACCTCTATGGGCAAACTGGCCATTTAGTCCCCCAAACCCTTGAGATGCTGGTCTTCCTAGCTGTCCCTGGTAGTGCAGCTCCCTTGGAGCTAGGCCATCAGGAACTACTTAAGCCTGGCCTACACTTAAAACATAGGTCAACATAGCTGCTGTGCTTGGGGATGTGAAAAATCCATATCCCTGAGTACCATCGCTATGCTAACCCAGCCTCCAGTCTAGACATAGCTAGGTTGATGGAATAATGCTACCATTGCTCAGTGACGGAAAAACCCCTTCCATCTCTGTAGTCTACGTCTATACTGCGGGGCTACAGCAGCATAGCTACAGTTCCATAACTATGCTGAAGTGTAGATATAGCCTTAGCAGACAGCTGGCCTGTAGCCCCCTTTAAAGAGAGAGAGGATCTCAGTGTGAAGAGAGCATGGCAAGAAAAATAGCATAGCTGCTAAGTGGATGCCTATCCTCCAGCTGTGTCACTATAGCGTAGATGCTTCCTACATCAACAAAAGAAGGGCTTTCCATCTATGTAGTTAGTCCACCTCTCCAAGAGACAGTAGCTAAGTTGATGGAAGAATTCTTCCATTGACCTAGCCACATCTACAACAGAGGTTAGGTCAAGTTTAACTACCAGGGCCTACCCCTGTAGCTAGGTTGATCTAATTTTTAAGTGTAGACCAGGCCTAAGCAAGCTAACTTTCTTAACTGTCTCCCATGGGATTGATAGCGGAAGAGCTATTGTCCATATTCTCAGAGGAGATGAGCATTCCATTAACTTCGCTGGGAGCTGACAGTGCTCAGAGCCTTTAAAATCAGGCCTTAAACGTGTTGTATCTGCTGCTTTGATAGCATTGTAAGAAATCAAACAAAATTAAACTATTAAAAATCATTAGTTATTTTAATAGCAAAACCAGATTAAAATATGTCAGAATGCACCATGTATTGTACATGCAATATTTGTTCAAAAACACCACTAGCTTATGACATTAACAAGTTTGGGGTGGGGGAAGGAAACAAATTACAAAGCTTTTAACACCAAAGCTTGTTTCAAGGTATGTGGTTTAAAGGATTAGCTACACTTCTCAGATGGTTAAAGCATACACCCAAAGTATTTTGTCTTCCTACTATTGGCCCATACACTCTGTGGCATTGAATTATTGTGCACATTTTATTAAATGAAGAAAACATTTAAATGATGGTATATAATAGATCTAGTTACAGTGTTATCTCAGTTCCACCTAAAATAAAGTGAATATTTGTTACAAGCATTTGTTAAATGCTTGGGCAAAGACAGTGACAATTTACTTGCCAAAGTTGCTTTTTTTTCTGTGGTGCCTACTTTCTTTTGGAATTGAAGTGAACAACCTTTGTGTCCCAAAGCAGTCTCCAAAACTATTTGGGTTGCAACTTTTTAAGATCAAGTGCCCTAGCTACATGATACCTTGAGGTATTTTGTAACTAGTGCACTTGTGAATAAATCTCATCTTGTAAGCATGAATAATAAAAATGCTTTGGGGGAAATTATATAGTATTTCAGGTTAAATCCTGGTCACCCTTCTCATGTGACTTCAACCGGACAACTAAGCCTGTCAAGTAATCGAGTTGTTTCACTACAAACTTTTTTATGGAATGTAGCAATTAATATTTAGAGTAGTCCTTCAGAATGTCTCTTTATGGGAGCAACCAATTGTGGGTGGGAATAGGTGTGCATATGCCACACTTGGTCAGCCTTTAATCTTGCCAGATTGTCAAGTGGAGAAGTGTAGTAATGCTTCTTTTTTTATTTTTTTGAACAAATGACATATTTGAATTGCAATTAGATGAATTACCTGACTACCTTCAAATAGCTGCAGCCAAAAAAGTAAACCTTACAAGTTACCTGCATTTGTTCTTCATAGAGAGAATCTGTGGGTCAAATCCTGCTGTCCTTAATCAGGACAGACACTAAGTAAGGAGAGAAAGTTTTGGTTGGTCCAAAGAGGTGATGTGGGCCATATAAGTACCTAGATAAGAAACTGTTTAGGAATATATGCTCAAATACAGTCCTGCACTTCTATAATAATCTTCTGCGGTGATATAGTATCCTGTAGTATTTCGGCAATCTACAATTGACTCTAAATTGGGGTTAATTATATTCTAAGGTATTTTGCATTACTCTCTTACTTGTAAAATGTTTCTTGCATATTGGCAGGAGATCCTCTATTTTTAGCATTACAAAACAGAAAATATTTGTATATTGTCACTGTAAAGTTAAGGGGGGGGGTGTTTGATAAGTATGCAGTATTGTTGTAGCCATGTCGGTCCCAGGATATTAGAGAGACAACGTGGGTGAGGTGATGTATTTTGTTGGACCAACTTCTGTTGGTGAAAGAGACAGGATTTCAGCCACACAGAGCTCTTCTTCAGGTCTAAGAAAGGTACTCCCAGCATCACAGCTAAATGCAAGGTAGAACACATTGTTTAGCATAAGTAGTTAGCAGATAGTGTAAGGGACCAATCAAGGTATAGTGGCCTATTACCACCTCTGCAGTCACAGGACAACGGTGGGATTCTTTAACAGCCTTCAGTTCAGTACAGATCTTAATCCCATGCTTAACTTCGAGCATATGAGTAGTGCCATTGGCTTCAGTGGAAGGCTCACGTGATTAAGTTGTTTGCTGATTTGGAGCCATCTTTAGGTAGATCTTTCACACAAACCATCACTGTTAGCGGAGTTCCTACATAGCAGAATGGGATCTATCAGTAGGAAAAGATCTCTTATGGGAGACCTCTCTTCACTCCCCGAAACTGCAGGCTTCAGGGCCACTGGCTGCTGTGACTGGAGGCTCTGGAAGGCCAACTAGTCACTCCTAGTGGGGAGCAAGATCACAAACCACTTCTCTTGGTTGCTGTTGGGAGTTCTTGTAGTAAGAGATTCTTCTTTACTGCTCCCACTACGTGATGGCCAGCTTTTCCAGGCAAGCTTGGAGAAGTAGGGGGCAGTGACAGTCTTTTTGAAAAGTATCAATTCTTATCAATCTGACAATGGTAATTGTTGCATTCCAGAGGATTTAAAATTAATTCATAATGAAGTTTCACTCTTCTAGAAGACAAATGAAGCTTCACTATAAGAGGAGTGAGATTCAGCTGAAAGTGACTTTCCCTTCACTTGAAGTGCAGCGTCACTAGAGCACTATATGAGTTGCAGTATAAGTAGGTTGTATTGTATATACTATTTGTGTCTGTTTGATTGACAGAATACTCTTACTTTACATTGATCTATAATGTCATAGCCTGCACTTTTGTTTCAGTTTTTTATGTGCCAATATAATGTAGAAAATGGTTGACTATGTTTTGGATGATTTTTATATGTATAATCTGAAGTGAGAAGTTTGTTATATTTTTTTCTGTTTTCTTTATACCTCTATTGACTTTTAAGGTTTTCTTTACCTAGCATTTCTTCTTTTGCTTTTTAAGATTACAGAATTTTTTCCTACTTAGTTTTGTAAAGAAAAACTTTGTCTCCTACTTTTTTCCTATTGCTAACATTATCTGCAGTTCAAATAGGAACATGGCAAGCAAAATCTCAGAGTGAAGGAAAGCTTAGAAAAATGAAACAACCTCTCCAGACTGGCACAAAAGAATAGCTGACTTAAGTCAAATCTGTGCCAGTTTAGTTACAACAATGAAAACCTTTCATTCAAAGCAATTCAAGAGGTCAGGAGCAGGTTTGAATCCCCCAAAAATCAACTGTTTTAAAAATATAATTGTCAGCATCCTAATTTTTGAAGTCTTTGTTACTTTGAATTTAATCTCTAACTTTTCTAAACTAATACTAAGAAGTTCCCCAAACAGCTCAGAAACATTACAATATTTTTCTGCACTACTGTTTTAATAGATTGGCATTTTTCCAATGTGAGTTTCATTTGACTTGGAGTCTTTAAAACATTTTTCTTTCTTTCATGAACTAGGTTATAGCCCAAAGGTGTTTCATTCTTCTGCAGATTCCTACTTTACTGAAAAAATTCTCTCCTCTAAACTAAGATTTTAATTGGATAGTCTTTCTTCATTTTGCCTTTCCGTTACTCTGTTACAGTCCTCTTAGGCCTTCTCAATACAGCATGGTTTTAAAAACAGAAAGACTGGTTAGGCCCCGGTTCTGCAGAAACTTTCGCAGACTGTGACACAGTGGACCTACTCTTGTGCATGAAGGCAGTCAGATACGCAAATGTCTGTAGGTTCAGGACCTTATATTGTCTGAATATAAGACTACTTTACTTGGATGAAAAATGTTCTAGGAATTCTACTATTGTTCACTGATGCTGGACCGCAGTTCAAAAAATTAATGTACACATAGTGATGTTGTGATAATTCTTCCAGGGTTCCACTGTTGCCTAGCTGTACCACTAAATGTTTCTACATAATGAAGTCAAGTGGACTTTGTACTGTAGGCCAATAACATAAGTTTTAACACAGGCACTTAATACAGCTTATATATTAAGTGTTTGAATTTCTACCTACATCCATGCCTTAATCAGATTCAGTAGATGCTAAATAGTGTTAAATATTAAACTCCATCAGTAGTCTGTGGCCTTGATCACTCAGAATTCTAATAAATATAATTATTTCCTTATCCAAGAGTGCTTGTGAGTTCTGGGTATATCTTGCTCTGAGATGCACACGTGCTAAAATAGTTAAAAGATCTAAAACATGAATTCCTGTGAACTTTATTATCAAGAACAAATACTGATATGATAGGTAAATTATTAATTTACTATAGGTATAAGCATAAGTTCTGTTTTATATGAAAAATAATCCCTTAAGATCAACTGAATATAATTGCTACAAAGATTCTTACGTTTAATCCATTATATAATTTTAAGTAAATTCTAGAAATGAAAAATGTTATTACCAACCACATAGGTGGCAGTTCTCTTTTAATTTCCCTATGTGTGTGTAACTTTTTTTTTTTTTTAATTAATGCTAGTTAGGTGTATGCATGAAGTACAGAATAAATTATTCCGCTTTGTTGCTGTAGGAATTCTACAGAAGAACTTCCCATTTTCTAAAGTGTCATAGAATTGTTTCTTGCAATAA